CCAGCTAAACTTCTAAATGATGTGATCGTTTTTGTATTCATTCATTTATTTAACAGTGCACATTAATCAACATTTCTGTAAATGTGCCAGAGTTAGCCAAGAGGCTATTTTTCATCTGTAGTCCCTGGATAGATTTTAAAAGTCAACCTAAAGACAAGAGATCTGATCTCCACTAAGATAACCACAGCTGTGAATGTTTGTGTGGTGTCATGTGTTCACGTGTTACAAGCATATAGTGGGCAAATATAAGTGCACATCATTCACTTTCAGTTGAAATACTTTCATTTTAAGATATCTTCATGTATTGTATTACATGTATATTACATGTATGTATTGTATTAATGTATCTTCTGTCTTGTGGCTTCTTTCCATTGACTTTAAATGTGCCATATGCTTCCTGTCTGGGGTGTTCACAAAGGGCCACTGTGGGATTAATACGCTGTAAACTGAATGGATTTAATGGCATTCCCACAGTTTACATGGATTTTGTATTTGAGCAGATGATGAGGTGACAGTGGGAAAGTTCTACGCCACCTTCCTGATCCAGGATTATTTCAGGAAAATGAAGAAGAGACAGGAAGAGTACTATGGGTGCCAGCCCACCAAGAAAAGTGCTTCTTCTGGGATACAGGTTAGTAGTTAATTACATTACATTACATTGCATTTAGCTGATGCTTTTATCCAAAGCGACTTACAATAAGTACATTCGACCAGGAAGACACAACCTTGAAGAAAACAGAATCATATAAGTACATCAGGTTTCATAGAGCCAAACATTTCAAGTGCTACTCAACTGGCTTTAGATAAGCCAGTCCTTTATTAGTATAAAAGTCCTTTGTTAATAGTTCTATTGCTCGAAGTGGAGTCGAAAGAGATGAGTTTTCAGTCTGCGCCGGAAGATGTGCAAGCTATCTGCTGTCCTGATGTCAATGGGGAGCTCATTCCACCATCTTGGAGCCAGGACAGCAAACCCACGTGTTTTCGCAGATGGGAACTTGGGTCCCCCTCGCAGCGAGGGTGCAGCGAGTCCTTTGGCTGATGCAGAGCGTAGTGCACGCGCTGGGGTGTACGGTTTAACCATGTCCTGGATGTAGGAAGGGCCAGATCCATTCGCAGCATGGTATGCAAGTACCAGTGTCTTGAAGTGGATTCTAGCAGTTACCGGAAGCCAGTGAAGGGAGCGGAGGAGCGGAGTGGTGTGGGAATATTTAGGAAGGTTGAAGACCAGACGAGCCGCTGCATTCTGGATGAGCTGCAGAGGTCGGATGGCACATGCAGGTAGACCAGCCAGGAGGGAGTTGCAGTAGTCTAGGCGTGAGATGACGAGAGCCTGGACCAGAACCTGAGTCGCTTTCTGAGTCAGCTGGGGACGTATCTTCCTGATGTTGTAAAGCGTGTATCTGCAGCAACGGGTTGTAGCAGCGATGTTTGCAGTGAAGGACAGGTTGTTATCTAGGGTCACACCCAGATTCCTTGCAGTCTGAGTCGGGGAAACAACAGAGGTGCCGATGTTGATTGTTAGGTCAAGAGTGCCATGGGATGTCTAGTGAATGGTTTTATTATTCTTTGATAGATTTTGACTACACCTTTAATTCATGTAAATACAATACACAACAGTGAGTAAGGATAATGGTACCAGCAAGTGTATGTGTTCTTTGAGTGTGGAGGACATGATTGTACTGTAAACATACTTACTGTTCATTAAATGTGCATATAAGTAATGTTCAAGTGTAAAATTGCATGAGTTGCATGAGGATAGGACCATTTGAATAAACGTTCCACTCCTTCCCCATTCACTGTGGACTTGACCTCTCTCTGTAAGCTCTGTATGTGGACTATTCCTTTTTTGCCTTAACTTTTTTAAGGTCATCTTACATTTTGCCACTTATAGCTATTGTTCTTAATTAAAAAATGGTGTCTAACAGGAATATTATTTGGCTACTTTACTTAAAAATAATTATTAGGATCCTTAGGAAAATGTGATTTGTATTAACAGTGTGAATCTCAGCAGTCACATTGTACTCGCTTAAAGGTTCACCTTCTAATGGATGCACTTTTATTCATATACTGAATATGTTTGTAAGTCAAGGTTTGCTAAAATATACATCATGTTTGTGATGGTCCTAACAAAATGGTCTGGTTTTTAAATGATTTAAATGAATAATAAAAAGGCTCTAGGATCGCTCTTAGACAAAGAATCTGATATGGTAAACCTGGTGGTTATATCAGTTGATACCAGGGAGTCACTCAGCATTGGAGCAGCAGTACTGAGCATGGCCTACAGCTGCAGAGCACACAGTGAGGGGCAGCTTCTGGATCTGTTGCCATGCTTACTGTAGTGCTTCCAGTTTTACTTCAAAAGTAAAACAAATATCAGGCAGGCCTTCTGTGTATGTCCCCGAGCTCCCCTCCCCTCAAAGGCCCCTCAGTCAGACGGATAGGTACCATCTTTAAAGGATAAGCAAAGGTAAAAAGACTGGAAAGACAAAGTAGAATCCACATGCTAAACAACTCAAATAAATATAAAGAAGAAGAGAGCATGCTTTATTTAACAGGGTTTTCAGGACCTAGTTTGGTCCTCTGCTCAAGACCCGCCCGCACTGCCATCCTGCAGATGATGCTCTGCACACACCCATTGGCTGGAATGACTTTAGTAGTAGTTTTCTTCAATACAAATGTTTCTTTGTGTCCACCAGGCAGGGTTGAGGAACATAGAGGAGGAGGCGGCTCCAGAGCTCCATCGGGCCATCTCTGGAGACCTTGTGAATGAAGAGGAGATGGAGGGGGCTGCTGACGAAGAGGGCATCTTCAGGGTAACAGGACAGCATGAAGGGATGACAGAACGAAGGATCAGCCTTCCCTGTCTTCACTCACAGTAATCTAAGAGATCTGATATGATACAGCCCATTGGACTTTTAAAGTATGCTCCCTTACAGAATTCAACATCACTCCACCCGACTGACATTTCATTTCGACTCAATGTTTTATTTCAAAATCAAACACAAATCTTATGATAATAAATAGAGCCTCTTACACCACAAAACCAGGCCAGCCGTTAAAGGAAGACCTACAGAGCTTTAACCCTTAACCCGACCTAACAACAATTATAAATGCAAAATGTATTGTTTTCATCTATAATTCATTCACGTTTTTGCAGCTTCAGTTGGGTGACCAAGAGTAAGTCCTTGCAAATAAATACACAGGGGCATAATGCAAATATAAATGTTGCTGTCATCTGTAAATACTGAAAGGTCAAATGTTTTTGTGTTAATTTGTATTGACATCATTTGACATATGTGTCAATCAAGAATATAGGCCACAATAACTGTGCTCTCTTCTCTAAAACAGAGACATGGAAGTCTTTTTGGAACCTCAGACCCTTTCTCTGCAGAGAGCGAGGCAGCCAATGGCAGCCAGGCCACCAGCCAGCGGCCCCTGCAGAGGGCAGGGGTCAACAACAGTTTGAACATCACCAACGGCAACACAAGTCCCAGGTCTGTGTGCTCACACTTATGTTTGTGTATGTAAACCGTTTGGTTAACTGTAATGCATTAAAAGCACATGGCTTCTTACTGCTCTGGAGAGACAACACAGTACAGTGTTGGTGTTGTTACTAATGAACACAACACAACTTTTAACAGCATTTCACTCGCTATTTCGCTGTGTTACAAAACATTTCAACTGAAGGGATTTTTCTTATATGTATATTGAATATATGTCAACAATCTCTATGTGGGCACACTGCTCCTCTTTTAACTGCTAACACTCACTAACCCTCTAATGTCTGTACATAACAGCCTAAAGTAAAATAAACATATTTACAAGATAAATGAGTGAAGAAAAAGATGGGAAAACACCAACCGCTTTGCAAGAAAAGTCTAAAAGTAAGGAAGGACTGAAGGAACAAAGAGAGGATGGAAATCAAAAAGCTTTATAGTTACTGTGTGCCTTCCTCTCTGCAGTCACGTACTCCTTGTGAGGATTTTGTTGACCACTGCCTGAAACTCACTGCAACATTCTGATAATCTGCACCATCATTCTTCATGTCCTGGTCGCCTTGTGACCTAGTATTATAATAAATAAATATTATAATTGTGGTATAACACTTGATGACACATTAGTAACCTGATTGTAGCTAAAGGAGACATTAGTTATCACTCCCAAAATAAACTGTATTGTCCCAGATGTTTCAAACAATGTGCACAACATCCTGTTGAAGGCCATGCTGTGTCATACTGTGTCTCTTTCTAATGTGTTGCGCTGTTAACACACAATGAGCACTGTCAGTGCTTGATGCTGCAGTTATATAAATATATAGTGTTAATGTATTATCATCATGTAATGTTATTTTATGTGAGATTCTCATATTCTGAGATTATTTGACAGTTTTCCCTGTCTTTTTTCAGCCTTTATTAACATTAGATTAAAGATTTGTTTTTGGATCCTTGATCTTGGTCTGAGCGCTTCAGAGCCGTGGCGTCGGCAAAATGGAGCGGCAGGAGCTTCTCACCGGATGCAAAGGAGTGATGCAAGGAGCTGCCAGGCTTAGAACCAAGAAAGCTCCAGAGCTGACCGTTACCTTGTCATGCCGCACAACCCCGCCTGTTACAGAAAAAGCGTTCCTTGTCTTTTGAAAATCACCAGCATGGTGTAACTGCAAACACAACATTCACATATCACCATACACATCGAGCACAGGATCCCTCTCCTGCAGGAAGTATCAGTTCTAACCTTTTGTGTGCAAAATAGCAATAAAGAATTGAACAGTACATAACTGTATCTATTGTTTCACTGTATCTTGTCACACAAATCACATAAAGTCATCTAACATCCATCCCGTATCTCAACAGTTGCATGCCTTGAGCCCTGGTTCACTGTTACTATAGAGCACTTCCTGTTTTAATCACACCAGCCCCATATGGAATCTGCAGTGCAAAACCCAGAAAAATATTCATCCAAAAATGTCAATACAATGGAACAAAGTAGAAAAAACCATGACATTTTTTTTTTAATATTTGTAATTATTTATGTCGTTTCTCACTATCACAGTATTTCAACAGCGTGACAGAGTCCCATTAACATGGGTCTTGTATTGCTGGAACACTTGCGTCTATCTTTGAAAATACAGGCGTTTGTTAGTGTGTGTTGAAAAGTTGGTACACAGAATAAAATATATCCTAGAACATTCACTTACCACTGACATAACAAATACAAGTATTTCTGATTAACCGGACATTTTCCAACCCCATGACAGTATCTATAACCTCAGTGGCTCCCTACAGGCAGGCGGGGCAGGCAGACGTAGGCCTGGGGAAATAGCTGGATGTTTAGGGGGTTGCCGTCCAGGCGGATATCCTCCAGGTTACGGCGGATGAAGTGGCGATCATGGCTGTTACAGAAGGAGTCCTCGTACAGAGTCTGGATGTTGTTATTCTGATTGGGGCACATGAAAGATACAGTTCATGTTTTAAAACCGAGAGTGTTAGCGTTCATCATTTGTGAAGGGTCTGCATTGAAGCTACATCATTCCCTAAAAAAATAAGAAACTATGTTTTGAGTTAAATGAAGTAAGTCTGCATAAGTTAGATTGCTGTCACAAAGTATATTTCTAAAGAAAGTGCAAAGCAGATAATGCTATGCAAGTGATGCACTATCTTGATCAACAAATACAGATCATGTAAGTTACGGTGCTCATTCAGCATTTTCCATCTTATGCCCTATCTTGATAAAGTGCTTTTATATTTCGAACTTTCCAATTGTTTTAATTTAAAATCTTTGTAGTGTTGTGTAGTGCATACAGAGAGGAGGTCAGAACCCTGACATCTTGGTGCCAGGATAACAACCTCCATCTCAACGTCAGCAAAACAAAGGAGCTGATTGTGGATTACAGGAAGCAGCAGAGAAAGGGACACGCCCCCATCGCCATCAATGGGTCTACGGTGGAGAGAGTCAGCAGCTTCGGGTTCCTTGGGGTCCACATCACTGAGGACCTGACATGGACTCTTCACTGAGGACCTGACATGGACTCATCACTGAGGACCTGACATGGACTCATCACTGAGGACCTGACATAGACTCTTCACTGAGGACCTGACATGGACTCTTCACTGAGGACCTGACATGGACTCATCACTGAGGACCTGACATGGACTCATCACTGAGGACCTGACATAGACTCTTCACTGAGGACCTGACATGGACTCTTCACTGAGGACCTGACATGGACTCATCACTGAGGACCTGACATGGACTCATCACTGAGGACCTGACATAGACTCTTCACTGAGGACCTGACATGGACTCTTCACTGAGGACCTGACATGGACTCATCACTGAGGACCTGACATGGACTCTTCACTGAGGACCTGACATGGACTCTTCACTGAGGACCTGACATGGACTCATCACTGAGGACCTGACATGGACTCTTCACTGAGGACCTGACATGGACTCTTCACTGAGGACCTGACATGGACTCTTCACTGAGGACCTGACTCATCACTGAGGACCTGACATGGACTCTTCACCGAGGACCTGACATGGACTCTTCACTGAGGACCTGACATGGACTCTTCACTGAGGACCTGACTCATCACTGAGGACCTGACATGGAATCTTCACTGAGGACCTGACTCTTCACTGAGGACCTGACATGGACTCTTCACTGAGGACCTGACATGGACTCTTCATTGAGGACCTGACATGGACTCTTCACTGAGGACCTGACTCTTCACTGAGGACCTTACATCGACTCATCACTGAGGACCTGACATGGACTATTCATTGAGGACCTGACTCTTCACTGAGGACCTGACTCTTCACTGAGGACCTTACATGGACTCATCACTGAGGACCTGACATGGACTCTTCACTGAGGACCTGACATGGACTCTTCACTGAGGACCTGACTCTTCACTGAGGACCTGACTCTTCACTGAGGACCTGACTCATCACTGAGGACCTGACATGGACTCTTCAATGAGGACCTGACATGGACTCTTCACTGAGGACCTGACTCTTCACTGAGGACCTGACTCTTCACTGAGGACCTGACATGGACTCTTCACTGAGGACCTGACTCTTCACTGAGGACCTGACATGGACTCTTCACACTAACACCATCACCAAAACAGCTAGAGATATTATATTGCATTGTTGTCATATATGTCATAGTTGTGTATATGAACCTTTTGGATTTGTTCTCGGCTTAGTCAACATGTTTTCTTTATAAGACACTTTCCTCTTTATGTGGCAATCTATTGTCTCACTTTAATGGTTACTAGTTATTTTGTTTGGATTTGGATTCCCATCCCATGGTTCTCAGCAGGAAACCGATGGACTGTCCACTTCAAGTAGGGAATGAGTCCTTACCCCAAGTGAAGGAGTTAAAGTATCTCGGGGTCTTGTTCTCGAGTGAGGGAACAATGGAGCGTGAGATGGGCCGGAGAATCGGAGCAGCGGGAGCGGTACTGCAGTCGCTTTACCGCACCGTTGTGACGAAAAGGGAGCTGAGCCAGAAGGCAAAGCTCTCTGTCTACCGGGCCATTTTCGTTCCTACCCTCACCTATGGTCATGAAGGATGGGTCATGACCGAAAGAACGAGATCGCGGATACAAGCGGCCGAGATGGGTTTTCTCCGCAGGGTGGCTGGTGTCTCCCTTAGGGATAAGGTGATAAGTTCGGTCATCCGGGAGGGACTCGGAGTTGAGCCGCTCCTCCTTTGCGTCGAAAGGAGCCAGTTGAGGTGGTTCGGGCACCTAGTTAGGATGCCACCTGGGCGCCTCCCTAGGGAGGTGTTCCAGGCACGTCCATCTGGGAAGAGACCAAGGGGTAGACCTAGGACCAGGTGGAGGGATTATATCTCTTCGCTGGCCTGGGAGCGCCTTGGGATCCCCCAGTCAGAGCTGGTTGATGTCGCCAGGGAAAAGAAAGTTTGGGGCTCTCTGCTGGAACTGCTACCCCCGCGACCCGACCACAGATAAGCGGGAGAAGATGGATGGATGGATGGATTCCCATTTGGAATTCTTCTTTTTTAGTTATGTGTTGTTGTTGTTTACTTATTCAGTTGTGTGACGTGGAAAATTAGGTATGACCTACTGAATAAAGCAACGATCAATAAAACAGGTTAATTACAGAACAAACAAGAGGCCATTCTTTTTTTTAACAGCAACAGACCCCAGCTCTGTCACTATTGTTTCCCAGAAATGTGTTGGTCTAACAGTGTGATTGCAGAGCCATGTTAAGTTATCCTGGCATTTTGTAGCCAGGCTAGTTGTTGGTGAACTGGCCGTTTCTTTTTTTATCCATTTTTTATCCATACTAAGTAATCTAGTTATTAATCACATCAATATTGAATTTTCCCGAAACCCAATTTCCCCCCGGGATAAATAAACTATTCACATTCTGATTCTTAATTTCCCTTTGAAGGCAACAAAGAAAAAGAGGCATGACATGAATGTGCTTCTACCTGCAGGTGTAAAACTCTCAGACCCAGTGGTAGTGGTACAGGAATGTAATCCAGTTTATTGTCAGACAGATAGAGGAACTCCAGCTGGCTCATGTCCTGCAGGAAAAAGAAACACACAAAGGTCTCACAAGAGGGAGCAATACGCCAACGTGATATTGACTGACTACAATTCCTTGAATTTACCAAGTAGTGTTCACATGTTCCCTGTTTCCCAACATTTTATTATTGTTTCATTACAAAGCCTGGCTGCCGGCCTGTGGAGGAAGCAGATGGAACTGGGGTTACGTACTGTAATCCAGCTTCTATGAGTATAGGCGCAGCCCTCTAAGGCTATCGCTATTGGGTAATCCCCACTGCACGTGTGCAGCACTGACAGACTTATACAGGCCCTACAATCCACTCCAACAGCTTTTCTTCAGCTATTCGCGGAGCCAGTGGGGCCCGAACCTTAGAGGGCTACGCCTATACTCATAGAAGCTGGGTTACAGTACGTAACCCCAGTTCTATTTCGTATAAGGCTTCACCCTCTAAGGCTATCGCTATTGGGTTAAGGGCGAAGCAGGATGTAGTCCACGCCCCACTGGTCCGTCCGTTACCAGAAGCACAAAATACACCTACTCAGTTAATAACCCATGTCCATTTCGCCATGCGTAAATGGAGCGTCACATTCCCAGGGAATATAGCATTAAAAAATGAATATTCTCCATCAGGGAACGAAGGAAGGCTTACTCAGGCTACCTGTCGTTTATAAAAAGTAGAGATCGAGTCTCACTTGTTAAAAACGATCAAGAGAGGGGGGAAAAAAGGCAGCTCTCTAAGTGCCGACAGGCAGGAGAGAGGGCATGCAATTTAAAAACCCAGACATTACTCATTCTGGCAGGCTATTCAGTACTGAATGTGTCAGAGGAATGGGAGAAATCCCTCAAATACAAACAAATAAAAGAACAGGGGGAAGACCAAGATGCAGCAATGCAAATGTCTTCCACTGTCATTCCTCCGTGCCGTAAAGGAGGTGAGGAGGAGGAAAGAAGCCATCCAAAGTTATCACTCTCGATCTAAACGAGCTTGTGATAACCTTTGGCATAAAAACCGGGTTAGGGCGCAAAACAGCTAAGCTGCCATCTCCTTGGATCCGGAGACATGATGGAGCCACAGAGAGAGCAGACCAATCACTCACCCTTTTAGCTGATGTCAGAGCCAAGAGCAGAGCTACTTTGGCCGACAAAAACTTCAGGGGAACCTGATCTAAAGGTTCAAATGGAGCTTTACTCAGTGCGCGTAACACTAAGCCAAAACCCATTGAGGTGCCAAAGCGCGTGACAGAGGTCTGAGTCTCTGTGCTCCCCGTAGAAAACGTTTTGTCAGAGGGTGACTACACACCGTGCTGACACCAATCTACGTGGCAAGATTAAATGGCAGCAGCATATGTTTCGACCGTGCTATAAGCCAATTCCTGTCCAGCAACAGCTGGAGGAACTACAGCACGAGGCAGGGGGCCCAACGGGGTCCAGGATTTTCCACACACCCCAAACGGAACATTGTCCATTTGGCTGTGTAGGATGTGTGTTCAGCAGCTGCGCTGATCGAACACCTCCCTGGCGATTTATGTAGGCCGCCGCTGCTTTGTTGTCTGTTCGAATTAACACATGTTGATTGTACAGCAACAGGGCGAAGTGCTGGATTACTTTCCATACGGAGAGTAATTCCAGCACGTTTATATGGAGAGACATGTGCGCCAGCCACTGTCCCCCCACTGCCTGCCACATGCACGTTCCTCAGCCTGCGAGAGATGCGTCTGTGAACACTGTGGTGTGTGACGTCACTCTGCTCAGGGGCACCCCCACTGACGTGGAGATTTTTCCAGTGGGTTCAATCCAAACCCACGGAAGGAGGAATGTACACCATGCGTCTCCTCTGACGCACGGGGTCGATACGCAGGCAAATAAACCACCTCTGGAGTCTCCTCACTGTGAAGGAGACCCAGGGGGATCACCACGTGACCAGCTGATATCATACCTAACAGCTGCATCACGGAGAGGGCTGTCACCGCCCCGCGGGGTGTGACGCGCCAGAGGAGAGCTGTCCGAGCTGCTTAAAAACCAATAGGTTTTTAAAGACAGCCGGTTTATGCAGCGAGCCATGCTGCCTATAACCGACAGGTTAGGGGCAGCCGATTCACCGGTGAGCTTTGCTGTTTATTATTATCCATCTGTCCATCGAACACGCGCGTCGCCACTCTGAGTAATACTCTGAGAGCGCGCGACCTGCTCTGGATGTGCTGTGGTTGTCATGGTGACGAGCCACGTCAGAGCCCTCGCCGCCGTTGCCCGTGAAGCAGCCCAAGAGGGGCCCGGTCCGAAAAAAGGCTGCGAGGGGGCCTCCACACGTTGCATCTCACACCGGCTCTCATCCTGTCTCTGTTTAGGAGAAGGCTCGTAAACTGGACATTGCGGCGCGTTCACGCTCAAACCTGCTGAGGAATGAGCAGAGGTGTGTGCAGTGCTATTCACACAGTGCGTAATAACAGCCCTGGGCTCATTACGACCAGTGTGTAGTAGGCACATCTGGGACAGAGGACAAACCGTGCTGCCTGCTAACCGACAGGTTAACAGCTGCACCGGAGGAGAGCTGTCACTTTCTCCATTCTCTGCTGTGAGAGTCGCGTTCTCATGCGGGCTGAGTTCAATTCCACTCCCAGTTAAACAGTCTGGGAGGGAAGAGGACAGCTCTTCTTCCAGTTGATAATGAAACCCAGGCTTGACAGATGAGATACGAACTGTATCGTCTGAAAAACCGCTTCCTCCCTGGAGCGAGCCAGCCACAGCCGGTCGTCCAGGCAAAATAACCCTCATCCCCATTCTTGGGTAGCTGCTTCAACCGTCTCCACCCACTTTGAAAAAAGTGCGTGGAGCCAGGAATGAGAAACACAGGAATTTGCTGTGTTTCGGGATGATGGTTACGTGGAGGTAAGCATCCTTCAGGACTATGGATGTGCACCTCCCTAGTGAACACACTCCAGCATCTGTTTGATCGTCAGCATGGGAAAAGGCCATTCCCTTGTTGGACACTGACAGATCGAGGATGGGTCTCATTCCCCCCGCCCCGTCTCCTTCGGGACCAGAAAATAGCGGGAGTAACAACCCCTGATTTTGTTCCCTTTGAGGAACCCTGGGAAAAAGCTTTCTTTAACCAAAGTTCCTGCCGCTCTGCACGGAGCGCGAGACACTGTTCCTGGGATGACAGGACTTCCTGTATCCCGAAGAACTGCGGGGGGGAGAGGCGAATTGCAGAGACTACCCTCTGCCCATCCGCCTGCTCATCCATCTGTCCATCAGACACACTCGCCGCTAGGGATGCATACCGGTATCCGGTATTACCAAAATACCGGTTACTGGTGGCTACGGTATACCGTACCGAAATCAGATCCGGTTTCGATACTTTAAAAAATGTTTTAAAGTATCGAAAAAACGTTTTAAATTAATTTTAAAAGTGAGTCTGTGGCCCGTGATGGCGGGTGTTATAAATTAGATTGCATAATCGTTTTTCTTCATATTTTATGTATTTTTCATTGTTTGTTCAATACTAGAAAGGTAAAAGTCCCACAAATGAACTGTGATGGGATTTGTTTTCTCTCACCAGTGAAGGTAAATGTTGATTTTAAAGATGAGATTTGTTTGTGCAATGCCGAGATCTCATGACCATTATTCTATTATGTATTTGTTCTCTAGTCGAATCTCAGGTTTAACATGAATTATAACGGTGCTATAACGGTCTGTTTGCATTGACAAGATGTGCTATTCACGCGGCACACGCACACCTGATGGCGGGTGTTATAAAAGATATTCCATAATTGGTTTTCTTCATATTTTTAATGTATTTTTCATTGTTTGTTCAGTACTAAAAGGTCCAAGAAGTCCCACAATTGAATTTAATATTCATTTGACATTAGTTAACTATATTGTAAAGCGCTTCATGGGAGTAATTGTGGGATGATACATTTTCAAAGTATTACGATATGTATCGGTTGTGTATCGGTATTGTTCATTGGTATCGGTATCGGTATCGTAAAAAAGTCAACGATATGCATCCCGAGGCCGCCACAATGAGTACCATACAGTACTCTGATAGCGCCGGGTGTACATTCTCTGGATGTGCTGTGGTTGGTGACAAACCATGCCAGAGCCCTCCACACGCTGCATTTCACACCGGCTCTCGTTATGTCGCGTTTAGGAGAATACTCGTAAACTGCGCGTTCACGCTCAACACCACTAAGGGATGAGCGGAGGTGTGTGCAGTGCTGTCCACACGAGGCGTAATAATGGCCCTCCGTGGGCTTATTACGACCGTGGGTAGGAGGTGTCTGAGACAGAGGAAAAATCCATGCTGCCTAAACCCAAAATGTTTACGGTAGACGGATTGAATAGCAAGCCCAGCTGTTTTATTAACCGATAAGTTAAAAAACCCAGCCGGCTTAGGCAGCGAGCCATGCTGCCAAGTAACCAATAGGCTATTGGCAGCTGGCTTAACTGGGGAGCCTTGCTGCATATTAACTTCCCTCTGTCCATCTAACCCACGCGCCGTCACTCAAGGCGCGAACCTGCTCTGGATGTGCTGTGGTTGTCATGGTGACGAGCCCCGCCAGAGCCCTCCAGACGTTGCATTTCACACAGGCTCTCCTTATGTCGCGTTTAGGAGAAGGCTCGTAAACCGGACATTAAGGTGCGTTCACGCTCAACACCCCTAAGGGATGAGCGGAGGTGTGTGCAGTGCTGTCCACACTGTAATAATGGCACTCGTGGCTCATTACGACCGTGTGTAGGAGGTAGGTTTGGGACAGAGGAAAAAAATCCGAGCTGCCTAAAAACCAATAGGTTTTAAAGACAGCCGGTTATGCAGCGAGCCATGCTGCCTATAACCGACAGGTTAGGGGCAGCCGGCTTACCCGGTGGGCCTTGCTACTTATTATTATCCATCTGTCCATCGAACACACGCGTCGCCCCTCTGAGTAATACTCTGAGAGCGCACGCATGTTTTGGATGTGCTGTGGTTGTCATGGTGACGAGCCACGTCAGAGCCCTCGCCGCCGTTGCCCGTGAAGCAGCCCAAGAGGGGCCCGGACCGAAAAGGCTGCGAGGGGCCCTCCACACGCTGCCTCTCACACCGGCTCTCATCCTGTCTCTGTTTCGGAGAAGGCTCGTAAACTGGACATTGAGGCGCATTCACGCTCAAACCCGCGAGGAATGAGCGGAGGTGTGTGCAGTGCTATTTACACAGTGCGTAATAACAGTCCTAGGCTCATTACGACCGTGTGTAGTATAGGCACATCTGGGACAGAGGAAAAACCGTGCTGCCTATAACCGACAGGTTAGGAGCATCAGATTTAACCGTCAAGCCCTGCTGTTTGATAACCGACTGGTTAATTACAGCTGGCTTGTGCCGCGAGCCCCGCTGCCGCGCTAACCAACAGGTTACAGCCGGCTCAAACGGCGAGCCCCGCTGTCTGTTAACCTACAGGTAACAGCTGGCTTATGCACCTCCACACGCTGTATTACACAGCGGCTCTCCTCATGTCGCCGTTTAGGAGAAAACTCATAAAGGGACAATGAGGTTCACGCTCAAACCTGCTTGAGGAATGAGCGGAGGTGTGTGTAGGAGGCACATTTGTGATATAGGAAACAAACCCGGGCTGTCTAATTAACCGACAGGTTTTAAAGACAGCTGGTTTGAGCCGTGAGCTCTGCTGCCTAACAACCGACAGGTTGTGAGGCAGCCGTTTATGCAGCTTTTTTTATGTCATCCGGAGGAGAGCTCTCCTGAACCGGGGGAACGGGGAGATCTCATTAGGCGGCTGCCTTTCCGATGATCTCCGGGAATTCCTAGAGAATACCGCCTATCGACGGCAGAGCCGTGATGGCGGATAGAGGGACCCGTTGACCCGTTTTGATTCAATGCTGAGTACAGCCAAACTTGATAGGCTCTTCTCTGTCATTGTAGACCGCAAACAGTGGCGGCGCCAGAGTATTTGTGTTGGGTAATCTATGGTAGGGCTAACCCATACAGTGGTGGGGCTCAAGTCAGTATTTGCAATGTAATTACATACACGCTCCCCTTGACAGTGAAACGCCACGCGTGAGGTTTAGATTATTTCCCTGTCTCAATCCAAATTGAACTGTATGGAATAAAAAGGCACATTTGTCTTGTAGTAAATAAAAAGGGCGACCTGGAGCCAATCCTGCAATTTCCCCACAGGTGAAAGAGTTGACATGCTGAAAACCCAACCCCTGCAGGGGGGTCTGGGGGAGATTTTTTGAAATATTAACATAAAATACACATTCTGGTACTTTCTTGAGAAGAAAAATGAATAAATCTATTACTACACGACATATTTAAAAAAATGAATGCCATTTTAGTTTTGTGTTACTTTGTTCTGAAAGCTGAACCTGCTGCTCCTCACAGAGAGAAGAGGGAAGAGACTGTGTGAATTACTTTACATGGTGGATAAGGGTGGATAGCCCCCATTGTTCTGTGTGTCAAAATGAAAGACAGCCCACACACCTATCAATCATCAAACCGTGGGGTCTTATTTCATTACGTGTTGATTTCTAACAACACGTAATGTTGTATCGATGTATATAGAGATGTACTACCGCAAAAGTATTCTCCGTCGGGACTTCCTGCAACAACACCACGCCAACACCATCTTGATTCTGATTGGCCAGAAGACATTATCAAAGATGTTCTATTAAGAAGACGATCACTACGTGACAAAAGTTTTCAAAACCGTTTCTAGTCTTCGGTATTTCCAGACAAGTGGCTACTGAAATCAATCTTACTAACTGCTGTCTGTGCAATTTACGCAAGTTGGCAGACTTTATTTTGCTTACTTTAACATCATTGTTCATGGTGGGGCTAAGCCATTTCTTGGTATGGCTGTAGCCTACCCCAGCCATACCCTGACCGCAAATACCTCATTCCTTCTGTCTACTTGGATCCAAAATGCTTCTCGTTTTGCGCTGTCCTCCCGTTCAAATGAAATCGCCGCCAATCATATTTCCAAGCTCGCGCCAGGGGGGGAGAGGGGTTACAAGGCTCGCGTCTTGTGCTGCATTCACTTGCACTCGGACATTAGAGATTTTCTCTCATAAATGTCCGATGAGCCACAACTTTTCTTTCAAAACAAAGCTGCCAACTGGGGTGGCAGCTGGGATGGCAAGGCATTTTTCTGAGGTGGCAGCTGACACCCCGTGCCACCCCGTAGAACCGCCACTGCATGATTATTACCAATTACAGATTTTTCTCTTTTGGATATTTTCTAAATATATGCTATATTAATTTAAAAATGCAAAATGGATTCAGATCCACAAAACAGTGATACTAATACTACAAATAAACTAATCTTCATGTGTAAAATAGGATTTTTTTAAATGTATACGATATTTACCTTGAATCCCTCAGAATGTACCCCATTACTGATCAGCCTGTTGTTGCGTAGATCGATGTATTTCATGGTGATTGGCAGCTCAGGCATGCTCTGCAGGTTGTTATCAGCCAGCAGCAACTGGTGAAGCTGCGGCAGAGACAGAAACACATCCTCATCCATCCCTGAAATTTGGTTCCCTGTCAGATCAATGGACTGGAGTTGATCTATATCAAAAAAACAAAAATATCTTCAATCATACATCATTTATCTTAGAGTGTATGGTGGTTCAAATAATCAAAGTGATTCCTTACTGAGGTAGTTAAAGTCTGTGTTCTTGACATGTCGAATGTTGTTGAAGCGGCCATAAAAATGGGTGGTGTCTTTAGGAAGGAGTGGGATCTGATCCAGGCCTGTGTCATCACAGTACACACTCCCACCAATACACACACACAGCAAGCAGGTGGGCATACCTGCACATACAGAGTTTAGATTGTAATACCTGTGCAAACACATCTAAACATATGCAGAAACACAACACAGCTCACACATTAATACTTAGTACTTAATAGTATTTATTCTAACCTGTAGCTGTACACACAGTTGATGCTTTGACCTACCAAGGCCAGTATCAGGGCCAAAGAGACCCGGTCCCTTGAAGTCCAGAGTGAAGGGAGCTGGGGGCAGGGTCAGCTCCTCCTCATGGTACTCAGCTGTGGGCAGGCTTGCTGCAGAGGGGGGGTCTGGAGCTACGGTGCCCACCTCAATCTGTTCTCCATGGGCAGCAAGGAAGAGAGAGACCATTTAAATACATTTTCATTTGAATGGTACAAATATATTTGTATCTATTTTTGTATTTGTTTAATTATTTTAAGTACCATTGTTTGGGGGATCAAATAGCAGACATATAATATAATACTGATAACTAGTTTTCATTAGTGTAAAATTACAAAATAATGTTCAATTTAAAATAAGAATATTGTATTCCCATTAGCTTAGAATGAGCCCTTCTGAATATGAGGCGGGTCCTCTGCCACCAAGTCAGACATTGATGGAGTGCTCTGCCATCCGTCATTATCAAATGTAAATTATAGTGTCCGTCCAAAAATAAAACATTACTTATAGTGAAAACCACCCTTGAATGATGGGATAGTAGACTAAAAGTTTTAGGAATCCAAACTATAACATATAATAAGTACCCTGTATCAAGATTGACCCAAAACAAGTGAAATTTGACCTTTTTAGAGAGGTTTAGAAAAAAAATAAACTTCTCGGGTCATTTGGGTGGATTTTTCATATCTCTGGAACCCATCGGTCGATTTTGATGATTGACACCTGTTTTGAACCGTTGGAGCCAATAGAATCGAGGGGAAGTTCCTAAAATCCATCTAACCATTACCAATTGGTGAATGAGTGACGCGTAGCTAGAATGCCCAAAACCGGAAGCTGGGTCGTAGCTCTCATAGCTCTCATAGCAGCTTGATATGGAATCTCCGTTTTTGACATAAATCTTATGATGGATTATCAGTAATCATTTCAAAGTGACACAGACAAATTGGATTAACCTTCAGTAGCGTTTTTATCGTTTTAATGCCATTGAACATAACTTTTGATGAGAAAACAGCAAAAGTTTTGGCCGTTTTGGCTCCGTAAAGCTAAGTGGTGTGTTGTCTGGATTTGCCTTAGCTGCGGTGAGTTTTGGTCGCACAGTGTGGAATCTCAGCTTTCATATGATATCTTGTTTGTGTAGATCCGATAAGTAATACAATATTTCTACCGTGAGTTCTGTGCTAAGTGCGTTAGCATTTTTTAGCTTACCGCTAATTCCGAGGCTTGGTATTACCCTTGTGTTTCGTTTAACTAAACATTGTTAATATTGTCTGATAGCTGATTTTTTTCCCGTTAAGTGGGTATGACACATTCATAGTTTGTTAAATGTTAAGAAGCCCTCAGACCAGCCGCGGCACTAGGATTTCAATTTTGGGTGGGCCAATGTAATTTCTCCTGGGCCTGTTCTATTAGATGTTTCTCGTTAACAAAAATAAAAAATAAATAAATGCCTGCATATCATTGTAGGCAACTGTGTAATGCATATTTCCTATAGTAAAGACATTTTTTCTAAACCCTTCTCTTTTAAACATGTTCACGTATAAGAAGCTTAAACATTATTTAAATGATTAAGCGGCACGCCACAATGAGTGAAATTAAATGTTAAAGCCTACTGCATGTTTTTTTGTTTTGGTTCACAATACATTGATACATTTAGAAACAAAGAGCACACAACGGCGGGCAGACTATGGAATAATTAGCGAGCACCTGATGTGTGTCTGTGTGGTTAGACCGCAACCTGCTGTCCTTTTTTAGCCGATCTAGCGAAGTGAGCGGCCGTGCGTAAATGGCACTGGTTCTCTGACGCGGCACTTTTCAGAGAATGCAGATTTATCATTAGCTACTTCCTTCTGATACTGCAGAGATTTCATGAGCTGAAGGTACGTTTCATACTAAAGCAGCTGGGCAGCAGATACTGTTTCACATCAGGAGCTTTGCTGATTTGGACACGTGAGAATGATGTCCAGTAAAACTTTTAGGTGTTCCCGATTTTCTCAAACATCTCTCTCTCCCTGTCGGCCTTCTGGATTGAGTAGCTGATGGAGGATGGTTCCATGGTCAGACTTCTCGCACTGTCTGTAGTTTGTATTTCTCTCCATAGCTATTGCATGAACTGTGCTACATTCGTGTTTACTGAGAGCATAGTCGATATGTTTCCAGTCCCTGTAACCATGGCGACTGAATGTATCTTCTCTGCCGGCCCCGCCTCTCTCACTAAAATGCCGGCACATTTTACAAAATACACTGTCTTTGCTAATGCTATACTCCAAGAATGTGTACTTGTCATACCAGTGGGCAGCGAAGCTCCTTTTATTTTCTTTCTTTGGCTGTGTAGCCACCGGGTCATCTATGGCTGATGGGTCCGGCACTGGGATGCTATTTTCTGTTATCCTTCCAACGGATGCTATGTCCCGCAGAGGGACTGAGCTCAGCGGGGGCACAACATTAAACACACTCTCGTCTCTCTGAGGCGGCACCTGCTGTGAGGATGAGTGTGGTGGCGACTCCCTTCTTACTCTTTTAAAAAACCTGAACATTGATTGTTGTGACATCGTTAGTGAGTGCGGTATATTTGTTGTGTCTGTCCGGTCCACTGTCCTCCTTTGTCTGCGCATGGCCGCGAAACGTTCTACGATGTGTTTGCTCCCGCGCTTCCGTCCAATTCACATTTTACGTTGCCTGTTTACGTTAATTCATGTTGCTTTTAATTTTATAATTTATATAAAGGGAAACACATGTTTGATCTTATTTTATTATGTAATTGTTAATTTTGATAATCAAATAAAAATGTTGGTACACTATATTTTCTCACAGTCATTTTTGATCAATGAATGGGTGGGCCCAGTGACAGAGTGGGTGGGCCTAGGCCCAGTAGGCCCAACCATAACGCTGCGGCTGCCTCAGACGCTGTTTCTTGCAAGATGCTGCGTTTTGCCCCCGGCACCGGGGGCAAGGGGCTTAACTGGCCCCTTAGACTACCTGTATGGAGACCTACCCGAGGTATGTGAGGTAACTTCCACTAGGGCTCAAATCACTGCTACTGCAAATGTGTGCCCCTCGCCTGGCTGTCTTTGACCGTTTTGAGCCTATGACTCTGTGGAAGCATTCGACCGGGTTCAGGGGAACTACCTGTTTTGTGTTTTGGACAAATTTGGGTTTTGACCAAACATTGCTTTGTCGATTAAACTACTACTTTTAAATCAGCAGGGCTGCCCCCTGAGCCCCATGCTCTTTGATCTAGCCATCTAACGGCTCGCCACAGCCTCACTTTATGCCGATGACTCGAGCACCTCTCTGCCTACCTCCATGTCAGCTCGGTCGGTTTGGTCACCTGTCAGGATACAAATTAAACCTTCACAAAAGCAAACTCTTTCCAATCAATGGCAAAGCATGAAGCTTAAACCTCACCTACCTGCGTTATCAAATTGAAAGTAACAAGCTGTCTTATCTGGGTTTCTCAGTTACAAAGAAATACAAAGACATATTCAGAGGAAATTGGCTGGTTCTGTTAAATCAGGTGAAACAAACACTAACACAGTGCTCATCTCTGTCAATGTCCCGTATAGGACGTGTAGATCATGACCATTTGGATTCCCTTATTACTTCATATATATGGTAGGGGAAGCCTTTCCGTCTCAACAAGGCCCACCTGCAAAAAAGCAAGGCTAATGGGTTATGGCTCTTCCCAACTTCACAGGAGTTGCACTCAGAGGATATATTGCACTGCTTGAATCAAAACTTCCACTACCCTCCATAAAATCTATCAGAAACCCAGTGGTGAAACACTCTTTAAGGATTTGGGATACATTTAGGAAGTACTTCGGCCTTTCTGATTTTTCTCTTCTGAGTCCCATCATACAAAATCATTTATTCAAACCATCCATTTTGAATAGAGGCTTTCAAGAATGGTTCAGGAAAGGAAGTCATCGTTTCAAGGATATTGTCATAGATAAAACTCTGGCATCATTCGAGCAACAAATCCAATCTCCCTAAGTCTGATTGTTTTAGATATCTAACAGCAAGGCATGCATGCTCTCTAAATGACCCAGCCCTTCTATATCTACCGATGCAACCATTGTTGATACTGTCCTCTACTTAAACCCGTCCCCGAAAAGGCTTATTTCAGCCCTCTAAAATAAGGTGGATGAACTGGAACCAAACCCTCTAAACCGCCCTATTTAGTGTTGTATGAAAGGAAATACAAATAACTGCAGAAGGACGGTAGATCTCTGTCCTTTGCTCTCCTACTAGCTCGTTGAGGAATCCTGCTTAAGTGGAGGGACAGTGTCTTCCTACTAATTTACAGTGGTTGACAGACACAATGTCTAAAATGTCGCTGGAAAATATCAGATTCTCATCTATATTCAAACAGGACTTTTCAGGAAGCCTTGGACTCCCTTTTGCCTTCAGAACTGTCTTGTAAACATCTAATTTAAAATGAATAAAACACTTTAAACACACCACCCGGCCACATCTGGTTGCAATCAGCCCTGAGGACGTATAAGCGTTATGTCGCCTTACAGATTATCCCATTACAACAGCCACAATTAACTCAATGCTGCTCATATTATTAAAGGCACTTGCATTCTCAGCATTTTGATCAGCTCCTTTCTCTTCTCATTTGACAGATGGACAATGAGCACACTGTTTGGCGAAAGCATTGGAATTTGAAAGTGCTTGTTCTCCTCACTACTCTTTGTATAGATTTATAACATATTGATTATATTTCATCCGCTCCTCACCTCTTGGTCCAAGTCATCATAATCATAACTGTCTCCGTAGATGTTGACGTCTAGGTTCTCCCAGTCCATCTCACTGTTCAGGCTGTAGTTTTCAAGGTCAAAAGCTTCCTCATCTGTCACACCTGTAGGGGCTGCCATGTTAGGGGAGGGGCCCATGAAGACCACGGCCAAGACAAGTGCCATCATCAGAGACATCCTGAGTTCAAACAAGGGGGCTACCTGCTGTAATCAAAAGAGAATAGTGAAGGGTCTAATGAAATGCAACCTGTTCAGTAAACAAAAGATTAAATAAATATGGAAACTTCAACCCGTCCCAGAAAAGGCTTATTTCAGCCCTCTAAAATAAGATGCTTGATTCAATTCAAGTGATACATAAAGCTCATATTTCAAAAGTCAAACTATCTGTCATGTATCCTGAAGTCAATCCTTATTGTTGGAACCCAAGGAACAAAAACTTGGAAAAAGTTATGTTTATTACTTCAACTCTGGACATTGGAATGTATACATTTTAAAGATAATAGAAGAAAAGATTGAAAATAGATATATGGAATAAACAATAAGCATTACATTTCATTTAGCTGACCCTTTTATCAAAAGCAACTTACAACTACTATCTGTCTATTTTTTTTTTTTTTTTTTTTTAAAATATATTTATTTAACAGGGACAGTGCACATTGATTGACATTTCTGTAAATGCGCCAACAGGCTATTTTTCATCTGTAGTCCCTGGACAGATGTTAAAAGTCATCCTAAAAACAAAAATTCACTTCAAATAACAGGTTAATACAATCAGTAAAACAACATTCAACAGAGATACTTATATTATGATAAAAGTATATAAAAAAATTAAAATAAAATACATATTCACAAAGCAGACAGATACAGGTCAAGGCATATGTACAAACAGAGCGTTGTAATGTACAGATTGTGTCAGTGTTGACAGAGCTGACTTTCCACTGACCATGTTTTTAAGTTAGATTTAAATAAACTGCAGGTGTTTTGTTCTCTAATCGTTACTGGGATTGAGTTCCACTGTTGTGCAGCTTTAAAAGAAAAAGAAGATTGGCTGAATGAACCACAGATGGGCAGACGTTACAGAGAGCACAGCAAACTGTTATCAGCTTCTTGAGTGGCTGCTTGGCAAGGAGACAGCGGGATGATGTTCTGAAGGATTGTGTCTTTGTTCCTGAACTTGTTTATCCTCTGAGGATGAAGTTACTCTGTTCCTGCATTTGAGATCAATTTCAATTGTATTTAACTTTCTTTATTACTTTTTGAAATATAACAAAGAACAAATGTGACATCAATCACCTTAGGTTAATAGAAAAAGGTTTTCTCAGTTCTCTTCTGATCTCAGTCACAAAACGGCCCTGTAAATATTAAAGTAAACCAATAATGGTAACGTGTGTGACAAATGGAGAAGTTATCAAGAACTGGTACTAAACTGGTACCAGTGTCTGATTGGTCAGGAGCTGGGAGGAGCGTGCTGTTTTTTTTAAATGCTGTGCCTCTTTTATCTCAACGCTTGGATTCTATGAAGCCCATAGGGAACTCTCTCCTTCGGAGGACCCAGCCTACGTCGACCACGACGTGGCGCTGCTTTGGTTCAGCAACATGCTAGCAAATGAGCTAAAAAGCTAACTCGGCTGAAGAGGATCCAGAAATTGTACTTTCATTTTTTCCTGAATCATTTATTTGAGATCACCACCGGCGATGACATAAAAGATGACCCTGGCCAGGTGAATAAGAGTAAGCTGTTTACCTTTAGCCACCAATATTGTTATATTAGTTAGTTAAGTAATTGTTGAATATGGCAGTAATTTAATCATGACTTTATCATTTGATATTTAAAATACATTCTGTAATCTCTTTTTCCACTCCCTGCTCCGTGAACAATACACAACTTTTTCTATGGCCCATGTTTTGTAGGCTGTTTAATTACCTGGATATTTCTTATTATTCCATTGTTTATTTACTACATGTTGTAAATAATGGTTAAAACCTCAGTAAATGTATTTAACAGCTAGTAGTTTAATAACATTTTCATGTATTCATAAAGTAGAGGTAAGAATGTATGCATCATCTGTCGCAGCTTCATGTCTTCTATTATGAGCAGCATGGAATACTTTCATTTCTAAGACAGAGGAAACCAATCATGTCATTTCATAATAACAGCAGCAAAACAAATATCAGTGATGTGTGATGCAAGTATAGGGAAGCAGCTGTTTGATGATAAGAATGTTGGGGAATCAGACTCAAGCAATGCTCATTAAAAATCTATGAAAGAAAGGACACAGAACAAATCTAATTCTGAACCTAAGACAGAAAGAAGTGCAAGATAAAATAGAGATAAATATAAACAAACACAATTTAGATGAAGTAATATAAGTATCTAGACAGTATTGCAAATGTACAAACTGTTAACAGCAATTATAATAAGTATATACAGTATATTCATAATGAGAAGTACTGTATGGCACACAGATGTGATTTGTTTGAAAACGTGTTTGTGCACTGGTGAGTCTGCTCTTTGTAGCTTCCAAAAATCACCTGCCAAAGTTTGGGGAATAAATCAACTCCGTAGCCAGCGTGCATACATGTCATCTGTTTCCCCGAGGTGTGGGGAGATCCCGCCTTTCTTGTTCAGGTTTGTTTTTTGTTCTATTATTTTTTGCTTCTGAAAAGATCAAAGATAGCGATACAGTTATTTTTGAACCTTTTCATATCACTTCATGTTATCTTTTGCACAACATGTTGGAGAGTAGTATCAATAAGGAGTATCAGCTTCGGTATACCCATCCCTGGTACAAAATGCTTTACTAAATGCAATTGTTGCACTTCCTTTTCCAATGTTGATCATTCAATTCCATCAGACATTTTGTGAAGTTTATGCAAGCTACTGTCTACCAATGCCAGTGCCGACATCACCATGGTATCCTCGCTTTATTCATTGTGCCCATTAATCATCACATTCCAAATGGCTGATTAGTGAGAAGCATTGTTGGCTGTTTGGTCATAATACCACAGGAATGTTTGCTTAGAAGGCTGGCAGCACTGTGTGAATGTTGGCCTGCTGGGACAGTTCTAGTTACTGCTGGGTTTCACAAGAGCTTTTTTACTACTCATGTCATTTTGTGTGTGTAATAAGATAAGCACACAATTCTGTTTATCTGAATGGTAGCAATCAAGACCACTGACAACATAACTGCAGATAAATACCTAAAATGTTACATACAATTTTTTTCACAAGTATAGTATCATGCAATACACTCTTTTAGTTTGTCATACAAATCGGAGGAATCCTACATCTTACACCGTGTATGCTGTTAAGCAGTTTTAGTACACATACATAATGAATGATTACACCAGTCACTGCAATTGAGGCAAATGTCGGTAATAGAGCAGAATCAATCTATTGTTTTTCAGGCAAGTGAAAATAACAGCAAATGATCATCACTAGACTCAGCACTTACCTTGCTGCATAACATGAGGAAACAAAAGAAAGAAATGTAATAATTGCATATAACTTACTGCCCTGGTTCTGCTGTATGCTGAAGACTCCACAGCATTCAGTTGTTCTGATCCTGTTGCTATTCTTGGCTGCTTTATCCCTGGGTGCTCAGACTGGTCCCAGAGTCCCTGAGGGCTCCTGTGGTTCACTGGGCTTCGGAGCGGCCTGTGGACAATGCTGTATTGTAAGGTTAGAGGAGGGGGATGACGTGGCAGAAAAACAGGGGGGTTGAGCAGGTCATTTCAGTCAATGTATACTCAGCTGTCCCCAGTGCCCCTTTCAAGACACAAACACACAACACACACCCACACACAGCTAGCAGACAGTCACCAGAATTAGTGCTAAAATCACAGTAGGTTTCTGATAACTATAGAGCTTCAGTGGCCTCTAAGAACTCCTCAATGATCCAATAATAAATACAAAAATACACCCTCACTTCCCAAAGTGTCCTCCAAGCTTACAGGATAGGTTTGTTTCTGGTCTATTAGGGATAGGGTTAGTACAGGGACACGTAAACAGCTCAAAGAAAATGAAACAAGTGACAAAAAACAGGACACCAAAGCAAACATGGGTTCATACTGGGTCTTATGTAAAAAATGAAGATTCCGTAACACCTGGATATTTCCTTTGAATTGCTATGTTTGTTCTCACTGAACAATAACTGGCCCTATAATATATTGTTCAAATACAGCATAATAGTCGAGCTTTAAAGCTGAAGTAAAAAAAATCTGGTGTAGAAGTAAACAATTGCTCTGCCTCCCCACACACACATACACAGAGCGGAGCAAAGGAGAAGAGGAAACTCTCCCTCACAAATGATAAATTGCCTCCAGAGTCTGCAGCATGTTTCAAATGAATACACGTCATTAAGGGCGTAACGTTCATAAGAAATGGTATTTATTCAATGTTAATCGCAAAGTGCACGCAAAGCCAGAAAAAGTAAATCTCCCGCCACAGTATCCTCCCTTTGCCCTGACTGTGTAGCTAGCTAATAGTGAACATTGCTAATAGCATTTAAGCTAGCAAACAACTACTTAAATGTCAAAGCAAATATAAATTGAAGTGAATAACTTTAGTAGTTCATTAATGAAAAAGAAATATTAACAGTTTTAAACAGAACCATGTGCTTAAACGTTCCTATTGTTAGCTTTCTATCAAAACATACAGTAAGCACAACATCCACAATTAACTCTATTATGTTTAGGATTCAAACCCAAGGTAAATGGTAAATAATTAAAGGTTCTAATCATTAAAACTGACCTCCATTGCTGTCTTTCAGCAGAAATAAAATTCCCTCCGTAACTGTCCTCCTGTTTCAGACTGTAGGTTAAAGTATTACTCCGCCTCAATTGGATCACTGCTGCAGGTGCACAGAGTTCCTCCACCAACAGCATAGTCCTCTAATTTAGATCAAAATGTGTCTTTACTTTACGAATTAAAAGATGACATATCTTCAGGATATAACAAGTTTAAAGAGAGTTATTTCAACTCAAATGCGGAAGCATATTTATTTTACTGTAGGCCTCAAACCTGCAACCCCGCCTTTTTCTTCTGATAACTTGCTAAGGCAAGTTGAGTCAATGTGACAAAATGTTCAAGTTGTCAAGACAACAAATACATGTAAGTTTAACCTGCTAAAACTAGAAAAGCTGAGTTCAAAATCCAAAATGTGTCAGAGTTCATTGAATAAAAGAGACAATGTAACTTGACATAGTTAAACAGGAATGTAATGTTTTACAGTGTACTGTATGTATTGCTCTAGAAATCTCTCGAGCATTAGGTGGAGAGAATTTCAGCGAGTTCTCACATCAAGAATGAGCAGGTGTTGAGTTAAAAATAAGTAATCAGCAGTCGTGTAATCTTATTCCCCCAAAATGAATAAGTAATGTCTCCTGATTACTTTCTGGTACTTTTGGATTAACTGATTAGTGTCTTTTTTTTCTGTTACTGTAAAATACTTCAACAATTGGGATCTCGATTTAACATGGTGTACTTATATTCACTTGAAATGTATATTTTAAAATACAAATGTTAATACCTGAAAATGCTTACAGTACAATGTATTAGAAACATATGCATTATTTAATACCATTCACAAGAGTCAAATGAATGTAACGCAATGATTCTTACTTAGGATATCCTGCTTCTCCTGGAGAATGGCCTTAGCAATTGACGATCTCTTAATCCACAAAATGATGGCACAGATCTTTGCTGTACACTGAGTCCACTTCACAAATTGCAGCCTGTTTATGGCTACATCCATATTGGATGCATTGTCAACTGTGTCTGCCGCTTCTTTGTCCAAAAACCTGTCTGGGCTTTGTAGACAGCACTGGTTGGAGCACTTTTTGCCTCATTTTGCCCTCCCATATATAGTGAGGTGTGACATTGAGGAAGTGTTCCTGTACTATCCTAGTCCATTCATCAGAAGTCAGCAGAAATGCCCCTGGGCAAATTGGGGCCGTAAGCGAAATGATGTCTTGAGCAAATTTGAGCCGGCTGAGCCGCGAGGACGACGAAGGAGGTAAAAGCTTGTGAGGTGGAGGGAGACTGGAGCAATACTTCCATCACGGTACACCCGTTGATTTGTATAGCGTGCAGGCGAAGGTGTTTGGTCATGTTTGTCGTGGTCCCTCCTTTGCACGAAATGAGTTTTGCGCTGTGCTGACCTGTCCTATCATTTAACAAAGTGAAGTCACACTTTTGAGTGTTTACTGTGGTTCATGATCGCCCTACCTAGGTTACGGCATAGATAAAAAGGGTTACGGTACCCAACCTTATTAATAAATGGTCTTATCTCGCAAGTCACATTTTGTAACATCAAGTATACTAGTTTTCTTGTAACATTAAGTATACATCAAGTATACATATTTAACATATTCAATTTGTGACTTTGTGTTCATTCATTCATTTCACAAGAAGTTGATGATATTCAGTAAAAGACAAAAAAAGAAATTGTCCCTGCTATGTATATTTTAAGTTTTTTTTTATACAGCCCACTTCAATATTACTTTGGGCTTTTTGTCATGACCTCCATGCCTTTTTCCTTGACCACAGACCTCATTTCAAGTCTATTATGGAAGACTAAAATAGTGGCCAAACCAAATATGTGTGTGCTCATGGGAATACACATTTTGGAAGGTTACAAATCTTTGTACGATCAAATATCAAAATAAGTGGTGGATGAAAAGAAGGAAATAAGGGTGGTGTGTTTGTTGGTGCATGGTATCACACACACACACACACACACACACACACACACACACACACACACACACACACACACACACACACACACACACACACACACACACACACACACACTACCAACCAGTGATCAATGACGACGACGCAGGAGGTTCAACCTATAAAAGATCCCTCTGGCTCAGGATAGGGCAGGGGGTCTCGGTCAGTGCTCGCCTTCATCTCACAGGTAAGTCGCAGCATCACATTTCATATCCATTCATGTTCTGTTTGTATCTCTAACATATGAGGATGTGGTTGCGGTCTTTTACAAAGTGCCTGTTGGTCTGAATGAAAACAATTATGTATTAGAATTCTTATGCATATGAAGTCTATGTCTAATCTAACAGTGGTCGTCAACATTATGAAGGATGGAGGGATCAGTCATAATGCAAAGTGCGTCTTTTGAAAATGACTGCAACCTTTTCAACAGCTGTTCAACATGGGTAGAGATTGATGATGGCTGTAGCTGAATGGGAATAGATTTGAGGGACTAAAGTCTTCACTCTGCGAATTACAAAACAACAACTTGTTCGAGCTGCAATGTAAACAACACTAAAATAGTTGAGGCATAGTTGGCAAGAGGGTGGAGAACAAAAGTATTTCGTAACCTATGTCAGACAGCTTTTGCATGTCTTTTTTAAAAGAATTGTGACTAAAGAGAAATGATCGTAGGTAGACGAGTAACTCACTGTGGAAGGTTACAAATGTCTTATAAGCTGTAGAATTTACAGGAAGAACCAAAAAACGTTGTGATTTATTAAATGTTTTATGTGTTCATACCTTTATATATACAGTCTATGGTTCATACACTTATTATTCAAACTGAAGTTAATTGTAAAAGGACATTTGATTTAAATGAGTGATGCTTACATAATCACTTAAATAAGGTTTGAGCTAATACCCGTAACTGTATTAAAAAACTGTTCTGTGTCATTAAACTGACAGTTTGTATTGTCATGTCCTCTCCCAACTCACCTAATACATGCATCTCTTCTGGCAGAACATTTTCCTGTGGGATATAATCAGCTTGCATACCTCGATTCTATTATTATTTATGGAGTGTATGTTGTTTGCCATATGCTTATATACAGTCTAATACAGATCAAAATTAGTGAGCAACATGGCGAAGAAACATATAGTGTTAAAAACAAATAGTTACAGGTGATCATACAGTGTTGGGAAAGCTGGAAACTGTAGCATGCTTCAATACCACGAGGACAAAGGGACCACGTGTTCTCTTTGTCTGGGTTCTATTTCTTTTTTTTTACATCTTGGGGGTGGGTGGGGTTACGTTTTTTATGATGAATCCTTGGTCTGAGACGTAACATTATTTGTATTACTGCAACAAATATTTGATAATGAATCCAACAATAATTAAATAAGCCACAATGGTACACACACACACACACACACACACACACACACACACACACACACACACACACACACACGCACACACATTCCTAACATCACCATAGAAGTAAGCAGAAGACACTGATGAATTATTGATCAACAAATAGCATGTTTTTCATCTCTGTGGGGTGCGTTGTTGCTGAGGTCAGAATGACGCGCTCTGCAGCCAGAGGTCCCGCTGCTCTCGCTTGGTGAGGACTTCCTGCCTCTGTTTCAGGAAAGGGACGTGGCGTGGACATGTTTCAGTGCATTAATACACAAGATTGACTTCCTCACTAGTTGATTGTGACAAATAAAGGACTGATATTTCTTGAAACTGTCATCCACATAATGTCGATAATAACAGTTATTTGTTTTAAACATTAAAATAAATCTTTGTGGTTAAGCAAATTCGAGACTTTTCTTTTCAAAATATTTTTATTAATTTTCTTGTTCAACACAGAAATCCCACAGATGGGCCAAAACAGTATCACAATGCAGTGAGTTGTGCAA